ATGAATCCAATATGGTCATGAAGTAGTATCCTTTATATATAGTTCATGATTTAAAAAAAAATAAACAATAACAAATAAAATCTCAAATTAAGAAAAGAATTTCTGGTCAGGTACGGCAGCTCCTATCTGTAATCCCAGAACTTTGGGAGGTGGAAGTTCCTTAAGGAGGATCACTTAAGCCCAAGAGTTCAGGACCAGCCTAGACAACATAGTGAGACCTCATCTCCACAGAAATAAAATTATCTGGGCATGGTAGCACACACCAGTAATCCCAGCTACTCAAGGGACTGAGGCAGGAGGACTGCTTAAGCCCAGGAACTGGAGGTGACGGTAAGCCATGATTATGCCACTGCAAACAAGACTGGGCAACAGTGAGACCTCGACTCAAAAAAGGGAAAGCAAGCAAAGAAAAATTTTCTTAGATTAACCACAAAGATCTATAAGAAATCTACAGCAAATGTTAACGACTACATATTGAAAGTTTTTCTAATGAAATAGGGAATAAGACAATAATATTGCCATATTCAGGTCTGTGGACATGAGATCCAGATTAAAAAAAGAAAACATAATGTGATTACTAAATAATGTACCCCCTTTCTAAGAGTATTTTCTGTAAAGTTTAGTATATGCAGTCATGTATTCTGCAATTAAAGCAGTAGACAAGAGCTGAATTGACCAAGTAGGAAACAAGGTGAAGAGTAGGTAATACAAGTGGGAAGAAAAAAGCAGCAGAAGGCAGGTAAAAGGTTTAAGAAGAGTTACAGCAATTTCAGGCTAACTATGAAAAAGTTCCACTAAACAAATAAAGTGGCTTTAAACAAGCCAGAGTTAAGAATAAAATTGGTTTTGGGATTTGGGCTTTAAGGAAATAAGAAAAGGCAGCATACAAATATTAAAATGACACTAGAAAACAAGATACCTTCATGACCTTGGAGAAATCACTTAACTCTCCAGAACTAAATCTCTCATTAATATAGTGAAGAAATTGAACTTGACAGTCTCTAAAATTCTACTGATCTCTAAAATTCTGATTCAAAGCATTCCAGCATTTATGTTAAGGAATCAATGTTTTTTATGGTTTTTTTTTGAAAGTGAGAGAGCAGGATTTATTGAGAGGACAGAAAAGCTTCCATAGTGGGAGGGTACCCGAAGGGGTTACCCCTCTTATGTTTTTATGTGTATTAAATCATTCTGAGGCTGAGTTACACATTATAGTCCACTACGAAACTAAGACATTATCTTAACACATTTGTGACTGGCAAATCTTTCACTTTTCTAATATTAAGGGCAGGTGAAAATAAAAAAATCTGAAGCTGGTTGCTGCAAACTTCTGTTGTTAAGACAGGGATAAAAATGAGAAAATGTTTTGAAATATCAGTCTTGTAAAGATTTGTTGTTTAAAATAAAGATTTTTCTGTTAAAAAGTCACAAGTGGAGAAGAGAAGAAAAAATATTTTCAAAGTGATTATATTTCAGTATTGTATAAATTATACTGGATGTGGTTTTGTATACTTACTTTTTAGGTATATAACAGACTACTTATTATTATGTTTATTTAGAAATACTTTACATGTATCTTGGAAAAACTAAATGGAAAAGTGAAATATAATATTCCTGTTTCATGTGACAAATCATAAAACAATGACTTTCGCATAAAGGTACTCTACAGGATTTGCATATAAGTGAAGTAAGTGTCAGTATGGTCTCATGAACTCTGCAGACTCTATAACGTTTTTGTGGATACTCTGTTTTTCCTGACTGGGTGATTTTTTCCAAATGATGTGTTTTCATGTTACCTGAAAGTCTGTAAGGACAATGATGGCAAGGTATCCGACCTTCTGCTGTTGAGTTACTCACTGGTAAATTTCCGGAATTATTATGTACAGTATCACAAGCAATTCATTATTCTGCCAGAGTTTGTAAGTATTTTGAAAAGGTTATACTGGTACATGGATTGAGCCTGATATACAATAATGAATTGAAGAGAGTGCAATGTACAATAAACATGAAAACTTTTTGTGGTCACTTGACTGATTTTCATAAAAATGAATAATATGAAAGATACTGATCAGGAAGATCAACACCTTTCATATGCTGATTATATTTTACTATGCACTCAGGCTTAGGAACTTTTTGTCCAGTTTTTTAATTTACTTTGTCAGTCTCTACAATGTCATCATTGTGTATTGTTGATATCATTCGAAACTCCTATTTATCCTTCCATTGGAGAGTTAGTACCTTACCTTTCTGCCGAAAATCAGATTCACCTATATTCCATTTCAGATTATTCTGTTTCCTTAGAAAACTTCTTTATTCGTATTGTACCACAAGTTCAAATATTTTCTTCAATAACTTTTCAGGTATTATAACACTATTAAAATAGTTATCCATGTAGAGACATGATGCCACAAGTTTTCATTTTTATTTAACACAAGTGAAATGCTCTTATCCAAATTGTCACCTTTTTCACAATACAGTTGAAAGTTGCAGACATACCCAGTACTTACCCAAGACACTACTCTGACCAGCATTCCATACTTTGTATTTTTATTCAGATTATAAACCTGAAAAGACAGTCTTCCACAATGAGGCAACATGGATTCGTCCAAGGAAAGTTCTTGCTCAGGTATGTACAGTGTTGAACTTAGTTAAAACATTATTTATTTATTTATTTGAGTTGGAGTCTCACTCTGTTGCTCAGGCTGGAATGCAGGGGCATGCTGGCATGCTCACGGCCACTGCAGCCTTGACCTACTAGGCTCAGGCGATCCTTCTGCCTTAGCCTTCCAAGTAGCTGGAACTATAGGCATGCACCACCATGCCCGGCTAACTTTTTGAATTATTGTAGAGATACGGTCTTGCCAAGTTGCCCAGGCTGGTCTCAAAACCATGGGCTCAGGCAATCCTCTCACCTCACCCTCCCAAAGTGCTGGGATTATAAGTATGAGCCACTGCACCCAGCCCCAAACATAATTTATTATGGGTTCAATTTTGCATAATCTGCTTGAATATGACTGCATTTCTGCATCATTGGAAAGATGCAAAAACCCGAAAAATTTATAGGAATCTATTTTGTGTCATTATTTTTGAAAAGAAAGGCATTGCAATTGACGGATGTGTTGACCAATAATCATGTACTATGGTTTCCTTCACTTGTCCCATCAAAATATTTAAGGCTAGAGGTTTTTTCATCTTGGACACTATAGCATTGCTCCACTTTTTTGATTTCTTTGGACATTCATATCTGTGGTACATCTGATCATAATACCTGTTAGTGTCAGTTGTAATCATTTCTATAAAATCATGTCCAATAAATAGTCTAACAACTTCACTTATACTTTGAGGATCATTTGGAAATACTTTGACACCTGGATTACCAATAAACACTTCTAAGGTTCTTTTTGGATCACATTTTGTCTACTCAATGTTTGATTCATTCTCACCAGTACTAGATTCACTGCCATAGATTATCTGTGTTATAGTTCTTTGTTTACATTGCATCATTACATCACTATCTGTCTCACTATCACTAATAAGTTGACTGGATTCACCTTCGACCTTGGAAAACTTATCAGCATATATTTCTTCACTTTCCATAATTATGATAAATTATTTTTAATTGCTGAAGTATGAAAACTCTGAAATATCAAAAAAAAGTATTCAACACTAACAGCAACAAAATGACCAACTTGCAATTTTTACCAACGACATAAAACAATAACAACATTGCGCAGTCGATTTCAGATAATTATCTCAATTAATTTTCTCTTTCCTTGCCTATTTATTTTCAAGCAAAATACAGTAACACATACATATGACAACATTTTAGCATTCAGAAACAGAATTTGCAAAAACATAAATTCAAGTCAGTAGTAAACAGGAAAAGAATTTGGAATGACGTGAATTCATGTCAGCAGCCATGAATTAGTGAAAATAACAAAATATACTTCTGTTCCAACTCCCCAGGGAGGCAGTAAAAATGTAGTGGTTAAAAGCTTAGGCTCTGCAATTTCACTGCCTAGGTTCGAACACAACTCTGCCATTTAATAACTATGTGACCTCAAGCAAGTTATATAAATTCCTCTTGCCTTAATTTCCTCAACTGTAAAATGAGGTTTATAAGAGCATCTTTCCCATAGGGGCTACTGTAAGAATTAAAGATAACTTTAAAAAAGTAGTGATCATAATGCCTGGCACATAGAAAGTACTTAAATTTATCCTTATGTAGGTTTCCAGCTAAACTAGAGGAGAAACAGGATAAAAAATTATAAGGAAAAGGTGGAGGATAAAGAATTAAAATGGAAAAGAAAGGTGCCTTGCTATTGTTTAATTTCATTATGTTCTGCAGCAGCAAAATCTAAGATACACTCATATATGTAGAAGTGGAAAAATTAGTAAACCTTCAGGTTTAGTTCAATAATTAGCTGTGTTATCATGAGGGGCAATTTATCCTTTCTGAGTTTCCTATTTCTTAATCAGAACCATGCACAAGTTTGTGAGAATTTTAAAGGATAAATGTATATGTGTAAAAAGTGTAAGGTGCTAGTAAGTCTATTAAAAACTACCTGATATTCCCCTTTCTTGGTGGATGAATTTCAAATAACTATAAAATTGTGAAAATGCTTTGCCTGTAAATTGATATTTTTGTGGGGGGGCATGTAAGCTCACTAGCAGGAATTTAATAATAAACAAATAATAAGCCAAACAATCCATCATTAAACTACTGGGTCAGCTGAAAGCAGAACTGGTTTAATCTAAGCACAGCAAAGGGATAATTCTTCATTGTGCACTATCCCTTAAATTTATATAGGAAACGTGCGATCTATATAAACTGAGAAACATTCTTACACAGCTTTAGAAACCAAGGGTCAAGATAAAAGTGACAGTATACACACCTACTCTGTTTAAATCTCAGTACCTAGATAACAAAACTGATACTTAAAAATGTAAGCCAAAGCATTTACTTTGCCAAATGCACTTGTCTTACTCTTCTACCTTACCTGTTTCATGGCCTGCTTCTTAGCAGCTTCCCTCTGAAGACTTTCACTCACGGAGGTCTATAAAACAGAAAAACGTCATTATTTAAAATAATTTAAAATTTATTTTTCAGTACAGCTTGAGTATCCCTTATCTGAAATGCTTGGGACTAGAAGTGTTTCAGATTTTTCCTAAGACTTACTGGTTTAGCATCCCAAATCTTAAAAGCTGAAATCTGAAATGCTCCAAAATTCAAAACTTCTGCACGCTAACATGACACTCAAAGGAAAAGCTCATTGGAGCATTTTGGATTTCAGCTTTTCAGATTTGGAATGCACAACCTGTGTTATGGTTGACAACTGGTTCCTAACCTATAGTATAAAGTGGAAGGAAAGACAACAGCATAAATTAAATTAACGATTTCAAGATCTTCTCCCTAAACATTAGGAAATCAATGAATTTTCATTATAAATCGTCAGGTAGACATGGCTTCCCCCTCTGCAGTGGCCTTCCAGAGCTGTGGGGCCTGGTCCCTGCTACAGCTCCTCCAGCTGGTGATGCAGCTCAAGAGTCCCATGGACTGGCTGGGTATACAGAAATGTCAAGAGGCCACAGAGTGTCAGATTACATGTACTGGATGGTGATTATGGCTATGGTGATCAAAGATGACCATCTTAACAAAGACCGGAAGCTATGAAGCAGAAAACCCAGCTCCTAACAGAGGACCTCAGAAAGAAACTCTGTGAACTTTGGGAAGTATACGAGACCCAATCTACTGCAGAAGCCAAATCTGTGAAGCAGCTGGACAAGTGTGAGATGATTCTTCAGGCATTTGAATAGGAAGACCTTGAGAAGAAACCCTGGAGTCTGCCAAGACTTCTATGATTCCAGGGCAGGAAAATTCAGTCACCCTGAGATAGTTCAGCTTGTTTCTGAACTTAAGGCAGAAAGAAATGCCACCATAGCTGCTGACGCCAGTCAGCCACTGTCTACACTGCTGCATTCCTGTAACAAATTTTATTTTTCCAGTTTATGGTACTGTGTTTTACCATTGTTGATCTGTTGATTTTTCCAGATGTGAATCTGTTTGAGTAGTCTGGACTTTCAGCAAGAACTGTGGTGTAATTTGGGCACTAAAAGAAGCCATGGAACAGAAATTGGTCATGAAAATGTGATGGATGAGACTGACAAGGAAAGTGCCCTTTTATGACTAAATAAATAAATATTAAACACCTAAAAAAAATCATCAGAGTAGACTGTAAGGTGTAAGAGAAAATAGAATGGTACAGGAAAAAATTAGGAAACATGATTTTTTAGTCCTAACCTCACCACTAAGTCATTCTACCTTTATGGATTTTAATTTGCTTTATGTACACATAACGTGTGTGTGTGTGTGTGTGTGTGTGTACGCGTGCGTGCACACGCATGAACATAGGTATGTGTGTTAAATGGGGAAAGACTGATCTAGATAATATTTCAAGTGCCTTCCAACACTAAAATGGCACGATTCCCAGCAACTAAAAGCATATTATTTTAATATGCACCATTGAATATATCGAGCTCTTGGTTTATGTTTAAGGCTAGGTTCAGCAACAACTATCTGTGGCTATAATCATTCAGAAAATATGTATCAAAAAGCTTTCCATACCAGGCATTGTTCTAGGTCTTGAAGATAATGAAAAATCAAGAAAGGTCTCTGTCCTTCAGAAATAAACAGTCTAAAAGGGAAGACAAATAACTAAAGAGACAATTACAATATAAATGTGATAAGCAGTATAATAAAGAGCTGTAGGAACTCAGAGCAGAGAAGGCAAGTAAATGTATTAGGAATCAACAAAGCCTTCCCCCAAAGAGATATGACATTAGACTTGAATCAAATAGAACAGAAATTTAAAACAATGCAAGCAGAATACAGAACGTAGTAATTGCAAGGGCAAAAGTAAAGACTTACAGCTAAGAAAAATATTGTTATTTAACACTTAAGAAAACACTGTTTCCTTAAAAGTATCAGGCTTTAATCATCACGAAAAATACAAAGCCAAACAAACCACTATGAGATACTGCCTCATAATAGACAGTATAATTCCACTATACTGTTTATTATATAGAAGATGGTACAATTTGATAATAGAATGGCTACTATCAAAAAGTGAAAAGACAGTAAATGTTGGAGGGTGTGGGAAAAGGGAAACCTTATCCACTGCTGGTAGAGATGTAAATCGGTTAAGTCATTGTGAAAAGTAGTATGGAATTTTCTTTAAAAAATAAAAAATAGAACTACCACAACCTAGCAATCTCTCTTCTGGGTATACAGTCAAAGGATATGAAATTACCACCTTGTAAAGATATCTTCATGCCTACGTTCATCGCAACACTATTGACAATAGCCAAGATACGGAAACAACCCAAGTGTCTGTCAATAGATAAATGAATAAATGGTGGCACATATAAACAACTGAATATATTATTCAGTCCTTAAAAAGGTGATCCTGTCTTTTGCCACAAATGGATGAGCCTGAGCCTACAGGACATTATGCTACATGAAATAAACCAGACACACACACACAAGAAATATGACATTGCTTATAAATTCAATCTTTTTAAAAAATTCAAATATAGAGATACAAAACAGTGGTTATAAGGGGTGGGGTAAGAGGAGATAGGAACATGTAGGCCAAAGGATACAAAGTAGTAGATAATGTAAGAAGAACGAATCTGGAGTAGGGGTCACCAATGCCTGGGCCACAGACCAGCACTGGTCCATGGCCTGTTAGGAACAGGGCTGCAGAGCAGGCAGTAAGTGATGGACAAGCTCTGCCTCCTGTCAGATCATTAGTGGCCCACCTATTGTTATTTACCACTTCCATCCTCACTTCTTTTTTTATGGTGAGTTGTGTAATTATTTTATTATATATTATAATGTAACAATAGAAATAAAGTACACAATAAATGTTATGTGTGGCCAGGCGTGGTGGCTCAAGCCTGTAATCCCAGCACTTTGGGAGGCCCAGGTGAAGGGACTGCCTGAGTCCACAGATTCAAGAACAGCCTGGACAACTTGACAAGACTTCATTTCTACAATAAGTCAAAGTTAGCTGGGTGTGGTAGTGTATGCCTGTAGTTCCGGCTACTTGGAATGCTGAGGCAGCCGTGCGCGTGCCATTGTACTCCAGCCTGGGCAACAGAATGAGACTCCACCTCAAAAAAAAAAAATGTTATGTGCTTGAATCACCCTGAAACCATACGCCCCATTCCACTGTCCATAGAAATATTGTCATCCACGAAACTGGTTACTGAAGCCAAAAAGGTTGGGGGCTACTGGTCTAAAGAATTAATGTGCAAAATGAGGACTATAGGTAATAAAATTGCATTGTATATGAGATTCATGCTAAATAGGTAGATTTTAGCTGCTTTTACCAAAAATACAAAAAAAGGGTAATTATATGAGATGACTGTTAATTTCCTTTACTATAGTAACCTTTTACTATCTATATGTATCTCATAATGTCATGTTGCAGATCTTAAACATAATAATATTTATTTTTTTAAAGTATCAGATTTGCAAGTGTACTAACACTGAACCATATAGTTCTAAAGGATACATTTTATGCTATGTGAATTATATCTCAAAAAAGAAACCCCAAATAAAGCTATTGATGAATTTAATTCTCCTTGCATGTGTGGGGGCAAGCAGGGGAGTATATGGGATACCTGTCTCTGTACCTTCCCTCTCAATTTTTCTATTAGTTTAAAATTGCTGTTAAAAAAATGAAGTCTTAAATATATACGAATGTGTGTGTATACATATATATGTAACAAGTATGTGTGTGTATATCTGTGAAGGGGGACCCCCAAAACCCCCAGAATTATTTTGTGGAGGGTGGACCCCTTGTAATACAGGCTTCCCCTGCTAGTTAAGTGTTCTAGGAACCCATCAGCATCAGTGAATTTTATTTTTGGAGATTCTTTCAATGCATTTGCCTGTTTCATGATTTACAAGTACACCTGCCCATACCGCACTGAGTATTGAACAGTTTTTAACAAAAAATAGCATGATCCCCCACCCTCCCTATTCACCTGATCTCTCCCCAAGCAACCTTTTTTGTTTGTTTGTTTCTCCAGACATAAAAAAGTCCTCAAAGGGAAAAATTCTGCTGATGTGGAAGAGGTGAAACAAAAAATGGCAGACGTACTAAAAGGCATCAAGACTGATGAGTTCAAAAACATTTAAGCAGTGGAAAAAGTGTCTGTTTTCTATATTAGATGGAAAGTACTTTGAAGGTGACTGAAGTTTAAATATGTAAGAATACACAATTTTTAATACATAAATTCTGTTTTTTTGGTCCCTCCTCGTATATATATAATCCTCAGTCCTAGGGTTACTGTTGTCTAGTCTACTGACATTTGCTATCTTTAGATGTATAGTATCAGCAACTGGTACCTCCTTTTTTTTTTCATGACCATAAACAGAACAAAAGAAACCTAATTCTAGTTCCCTATGACCACAGAGACAAACAAACTTAATACACAAGTAATAGAATATATATTTAATAAATTAAAGCATACAGACACTAAGAGCTAAAGACATTTTAGGTGACAGTAAACTGACTTCAACTAGAGGAAAAGATGTTGATAACAGAAACTAGTATCAGCTAACACTTATTGAGTTAGGTGCTATGCTAAGTATATTAGTTGTGTATTACATATATTACTCATTTAATCCAAACGTTCCTGTCAAATGTAACATGACACTTCTATTCATTACAATGTAAATTTTATAAAGCAAAAGTAACAGTAAATATTTCCAATGTAGTTTTATGCCCGTCATTCTAATTAGTGTAAATGAAATATATTTTTCTTGAGTTCAGAAATATCAAGCCTTCCCTGATTTATGTCAGGAGGACCTGACTTTGCAATTTTTAAAATCTTCTCTCGAATATCCTTTCTTTCTCTCCTATTAATATTTTTTACAGGCTTTTACTCTGTCATCCAGGATGGAGTGTAGTGATATGATCATAACCTACTGCAACCTCAAACTCTTGGGCTCAAGCAATTCTCCACCCTCAGCCACCTAAGTAGC